TTTAGCCAAAAACAGCTTGAGACCAGGGGCCCCCTTCGTACTCCCCTTAGAACCTTAATAAAAACGATATTTTTAATATCCTCTTGGTCTTAAACAAAAAGAAAAAGGAATTCCCAAGGGAGATATAGCCCTTGGCCCACGGCCACAAACTCCAGCTCATCTTCTGTCCACCCTCCGACCAAAGCTCCTGGAAAGAGCTGTAGGGTTTAGGGCTTTGGGCCTAAACCCTAAACCCTAAACCCTAAACCCTAAACCCTAAACCCTAGAAACATGGACTTGATCGGCTTCATTGAGTTTTTTGGGGGCTGCTCGTTCGTGGCATGTGGTTCTAGTTGGGCGTAGAACCCTAAACCCTAAACCCTAAAATCCTAAACCCTAAACTTTTGCCGGAAACTTCGTGGAAGTTGCACCCCTACCCTGGAGGTTCATGGTACTTCTGAACCAATTCTAACTGTACTCATAACCCACTCAGAAGCCCCTTAAGTGCCCTAATATGGTTATCTAGGTACAGTTATAAGTACAGGTATAATTGGTTCATAAGTACCAGGAATCTCCAAGTAGGAATGACTATGGGACATTCTCAAAAGTACAGTCCATGTTGGGTAGCACGGGCGCTGTTACCACCCAAACTAGGGGCCATCATCAAAGACCTGTCTGATGTCATGTATAATGCGGTTTTGAGCTCAGGGCTCGTGGTTTAGGGTTGTGGTTTAGGGTTTAGGGTTTCGGGTCAGGGTTTCGGGTTCAGGGTTTCTGTGTCTGTCAAGTCAAAGTTCAAGCTGTGCAAGTGTTCTGATTCAACATACGGAAACCCAGGCTGGAGCGATGCTATGACAGCATCTGGGACAACTTGTCCCTGAACCCGAAACCCTCCCGACCGCTCTGTCCGAAAGCTGTATATCCAAACACATCATAAACCTGTGACATCCAGCCTCGCCTCGCGGCCCAAATCCCACGGGCACCTTCTTCGGGTATGGGAACCCTTGATAGGGGAACCCTTATATACCCTTATGTAGCCCTATAAAACCCCCGGGCCTGTACTTCAAGATGATTGACCGTAAGCCCCATGGCCTAAAATGCTAAACCGATCGCCTGGGGACGTGAGGCTTCTCTGAAGATGCCCTGATACCAACATACTGACGAATCTAACCCTCAACTCGGAACCCCCAGACCTAAACCCTAAACCCTTAAACCGCACAAATTCGCTTGGCATACCAGCACTTCGCGCTGCTTAGCCGACTTGCCTAGACTCTTTAACCCACGCAACGGAGATCCATGCCGGGTCTTTTACTGGTTCATAGTTGGGATAGTAATAAAATTGTAAAATTTTATTCCTTATTGAGTTTAAGTACCCTTAAAAATGCAAAATGTTACCCCACTATGATAGAGTCTATAGGTGAGTCAGGAGAAAGGGATTGATGGCTTGAGCTGATGGGAGATCTCTGCAGCGGCAGTTCTTTTCATGTCATCACTGCGCCTGCCCTGAGGGTTAGACAGCTAGACCCTGAAACCCCAAAAAATAGGGTTTAGGGTTTAGGGTTTAGGGTTTCGGGTTTAGGGTTTAGGGTTTCGGGTTTCGGGTTTAGAGGATGTAGGGTTTGGGGGTTAACCTGAAGACAAGTAAGCCCCACATCCCAGGGGCCATCGGGACCCAAAGACACCAGGGGCCCCCTGCCTGTACTAACTATCAGGGACTTATAACCTAGGATCCTTATAACCCAATTTTGGGTCCGTATAACACTACTTATTGCTAGGGGGCCCCCTCCTTGTAGCCCTGAACCCTAAACTCTAAACCCTAAACCCCTGCAGACACCCAAAAACACCAGGGCGCCCGGCTACATCGCTGGAGGCGTCACCTCCGAGCTGGTAGAACTTCCCGGCGCCATCCGGGCCTCAGGGTAAGGGACCCTAAACCCTAAACCCTAGACCCTAAACCCTAAACCCTAAACCCTAAACCCTAAATCCTAAACCCTAAACCCTAAACCCTACACCCTAAACCCTAAACCCTAAACCCCAACCCTAAAAGGCAGCTTGCCTCATGGACGCAGCGCGGAGTGTTTTACAATCACGCTCAACTCAATCGGGTCTGGGGCTACGAAACCCTAAACCCTGAACAGTACGCCCTGAACCCTAAACCCTAACTCCCTTTTGGAGTACCCTAAAGAAGAAGGGGTGGCAGTATAATCGTACAGCTGACCTCAGGGTTTAGGGAGTATGTTTGGAATGAGCATTTACCGCTTTCTGACAGGCCTTCGTGAATGAACCCCCAAAAGCAGGTTAAAGGTTGCTCACCTGCGAGGAACCCCATGTATGACAACCCTTAACCCTAATTCAACCTAAACCTGAAAACCCCGAAATCCTGCATAAACCCGAAACCCGCGCGCCTGAGCCCTGGCTTTTCCGTGAGGTCCTCAACAGTGTTTTGATTTGTCTTGTGGGCTTCAGAGCTCAGCATTTGAGAATTCAGGATTTAGCTTTGAAGGTTTAGGGTTTAGGGTTTAGGGTTTAGGGTTTAGGGTTTAGGGATTCGAGCTCAGGGCGCCTACTTTAGAGTTCCGGACGCTTCGTCTACCCTGCGCTAAACCCTAAACCCTAAACCCTACACCTAAACCCTAAACCCTAAACCCTAACCCTAAACCCTAAACCCTAAACCCTAAACCCACAAAGAGTCACTAAGGATGATCCCACACGCAGGAGGCGACAAGAAACGCGGCACTTTTTCCTGATGCGCCATGCCCAAAAGCGTCGCAGCCTCTGGTGGACAATCTCCTAGAAATCCGGTGGAAGCCGCCACCTCATACGTCCGGGTTTCCCTAAACCCTAAACCCTAAACCCTAAACCCTAAACCCTAAACCATCTGCTGGAAACGCAGCTACTGGTGCTCCCACGAGTACGCTGCGCCGTTGGGGGCGCCACCGGGGGGCATGCTCAGCGCGTCCAAGATTCCACCCCCGCGCAGCAACTCCGCAATGTACCTCGCGCAAAGGGTCCATGTACCTACATGCTATATACTTGGGCCTTCTAGGGGGTCCTATAATAGGGTTTAGGGTTTAGGATTTAGGGGCATGGTAGCTAAAGGGTCCCAGTATATACTATGCAGCTACATGGGCCCTTCGGGTCAAATGCTCAGAAGACAAGAGGGTTTAGGATGTGATCAGGGTGGTGGTGAGGTAACCTGCACCATTCTTAAGGTACTATTTTCAAAAGGATCATGCTTGCTCCTTATTGGGTTTCAGCATGCATAACAATGCAAAATGATTTGACCCAGTGAAGACGTTCAAGAAGGATCCCCTGATTTAGAGTTCCCTAAGGGTCCATGTACCTAAACAGGGAGTACTGGGGCCTTAAAGTACTTCCGAAATAGGGACTTTACCCCCCCCAAGTACATGATAATGGGGTACATGAACCCTTGTGGAATCCTGAGCCCTAAGCCCTAAACCCTAAACCCTAAACCTTACACCCTAAACCCCAAACCCCAAATCCCAAATTCTAAACCCCAATAATGAGATACAATAATAAGATACATGGACCGTTAGGAGTTTATTGGTGCTTCATCTGGGATGCTCTCCACACGTCGGACGTGTGCGGAGCAATCTCTAGCCCTACTCCCCCAGTGTCACCCTAAACCCTAAACCCTAAACCCTCAACCCTAAACCCTAAACCCTAAACCCTAAACCCTAAACCCTAAACCCTAAACCCTCTTCAGCAAGGAGCCGGAACAACCCCCGGCCGTAGTTCATTGAAGCCACGGCCTGCCAGGGACTTGCAACATGCCCTGCTGCGCCCTACGAGATCCTTGGGGGCCAATTATGTACCCCTGCATGGGTTTAGGGTCTAGGGTTTAGCAGCAATTCTCAAGCCCTAAACCCTAAACCCTAAACCCTAAACCCTAAACCCTAAACCCTAAACCCTAAACCCTAAACCCTAAACCCTAAACCCTAAACCCTAAACCCCGACCCGGCCTTGATCCCATCCGGCAAGCCCTTGAGCTCAACGGAGTTAATCTCCTCGAGGCAATCCTCGGCCGCCTCGATGAGCTGCACACCTTTACAGGGGTTTAGGGTTTAGGGTTTGGGGTTTAGGGTTTGGGGTTTAGGGTTTGGGGTTTGGGGTTGAGGGCTTGGGATTTAGGGTTTAGGGTTTGCGTTTGGGGTTTAGGGTTTAGGGTTTAGGGTTTGGGGTTTAGGGTTAAGGGTTTAGGGTCTAGGATTTAGTGCTTGGGGTTTAGGGTTTGGGGTTTAAGGTTTGGGGTTTGGGGTTTAGGGTTTAGGGGTTGGGGTTTAGGGTTCAGGGTTTAGTTGGGTAAGGCTTAAGGTCAATTTAGGGTCTAGGTCTCAAGGCTTAGGGCTAATTTTAAGGCGTAGGGTCTAAGGCTTGGGGTTGAGGGGTTTAAAGATTCGGGGTTGTTTAGGGTTTTTTTGCGGTTTTGGTTGGGATGTTCCCCGGGGTTTAGGGTTTTGGGTCTAGGGGGGTATACTAGCAGTCCTGAATAGGGATTGTAGTACTGTTAGTACAAGGGCAAGGTTTAGGGTTTAAGGCTTCGGTTTTTTCGGGTTTTGTATAAGGCTCTCAGACTCGGATTTTTTGGGGTTTTGGGCTTCGGGCCCGCAGACACCCCGTACGGAAAGAGCCGAGGGCAATCTGCATGCGAATTCTCAGAGGGCCCTCGGCAGGGTTTAGGGTTTAGGGTCTAGGGTCTAGGGTTTAGGGTTTAGGCTTTAGGGTTTAGAGCTTAGTTAGGGTTCTTAAAGGCCGGGCTTGGGAGTCCCCTTTTTTGGTGCTGGGGTGGGGAGGGGGGCCCAGGTAAGGACAATTTCCTTATACTTGGCGGTATACAAGGGGAGGGACCGTCACCGCGAACCATGCAGCGATTCACCTTTTGTGCGTTTGGCAAAGAGGAAGAGGAAAAACCGTGGCTACCCTGAATTAGGGCTAGCTCCAGTTTGGGATCTAGGTTTAGGGCTCAGAATTCGGGAGTCTTGCAATCCACTACTGCTCGCCTGCCAAAGCCATGGGGCTTCCCCGCACATCCGGAGGGATCGCGTATGCCATTCCTGCGTACCTGGATAGACAGATGTGTGTGGGGGGGGGGGGTTCGGGGGGGCTGTTCCGAATTGTGGGGTCAATCTCAACAAATGGAACCACGCTCCACCCCCAAAACATACAGACTCAATTCCAATTTGATGTCCAGGTTCATCTGCTGCAGACTTCGGAATGTCATGTTGAATATGGGCAGACTACCGCCCAGCACGCCGTCGAGCTCCTTCGCGGCGGAAACATGCAAAGGCTAGTTACAAGGTCTTTCGGGGCAGGCGATGCGATCAGAACTGCCTCCTAGGGGATGAACATATGGTGGGTCTGCGAGGAGTTCTGCAGCGTCCTACACAGCAGCGACTGTCCTGCAGAGCGTCCTCATCGTAGGCCACCCGGACATCTGTGGAGGCTCCGGCAAACATCTGGACCATCTTCTCTGCCAATGCTTTGGCAAACTGACGAGGGTCTGGTTTGGAACTTGCGCAAACCGGGGCACACGTGAAGTTGAAAGAGCATTGCGAAGGGTCACTGGTGCATTTCTCCAGGGAGCAGCACCTGGGTAGCCCACAAACCATCTTATAATACGAGCACCCTTTCTGGGTTGGTTGCTTTCTAAGGGAAGCCATAACCCTAAGGGTCCATGTACCTAAATAGGGAATACTTGGGCCCTGAAGAGCCTCCTACATAGGCATAGGGGTACATGGACCCTTAGGGTAACCAAAACAAGGGGGTAAGAAGGGTACTACAGGACTGCCAAGGCACTGGCCGGGTTCAAAATCGCAAGAGGCCTCGAGAGCGCCACATTCGGAGCTCTTCGTTGCAGCCCTTAGTTGTCCAGTATCCTTGGGGAGCTTAAGGATGACTTCTACCCCCCAAAAAAGGTTAAAAAGGGTACCTATCTCTACTACTCAGAGTCTGATAATTTTGGGCTCATAAAGGGTACCTTACTCTGCTGCTAAGAGTCTGCTTGGCCTTGTCAACCAAGATCTTCTCCACAGCTTCGGTCAGACTGGCATCCAGAAGGAACTTGAAGCCATGCCCGATCTGATTCCACAGCGGCTCGTCCGGATGCCTTGCTGCTTAGTAGGGAATGGAGGGGGGGAAAGAGGTACCACTAGAATATTCTTTAAAGGGTGTAATATAAGCACCCTATATTACTCCTTAAAGGGTATAATACAGGGGCCCTAACTCCCTCTCACTCCCTGCTAATCCAACAGTAAGATGCTCCACCAGGTAGTGCACGTCCTGGTTCATCAGCGCGGTAGCCTGAGTTGCTGAGTTCGTGTACACTTTCACTGCTATAGTAGGGGACTATAGTACCCGAAACCCCTAAACCCCTAAGCCCTAAACCCCTAAGCCCTAAGCCCTAAACCCTAACCCCTAAACCCTAACCCCTAAACCCTAAACCCTAACCCCTAAACCCTAAATCATTCAGCTGCTAGGTAACGTTGATGTGGCCCACGTGCTTCATGAGCATCTTGATCGACTCGGCGGCCATGGCCTCTACCATTTGCTTTTAAGAACCACCCTCCCCCCCCCCCCAAAAAAAAATATATATATATATATATATATGTATGTATATATAAACGAAAAATCTCAATCCTTAAAGGGCAATATAGGGGTACATATATATATATATAGGTATATGTATTCCTCTGTGTGTGTGTGTGTGTGTGTGTGTGTGTGTTTTGTTTCTTTTTTTTTTTTTTTTTTTTTTGGGGGGGGGGGGGGTTCTGACAAGCAATTTCTAGGCCTTGTTCGGAAATGGGAGAGGCATGCTCTCCAGGATGACGGTTTTCCCCGCAGCGGTAGCTGACACGAGGTGCCCCATGGACACCTTACTTCTCCAATAGAACCAAAAAAGGGACAGAAAAAAAAAGAGAGGCACCCTAAACCCTAAACCCTAAACCCTAAACCCTAAACCCTAAACCCTAAACCCTAAAACCCTAAAACCCTAAAACCCTGAACCCTAAAACCTAACCGTACTTCTCCAATACACCAAGGGGGAAAAATGTCAAACTTTATTATTCCTACTAAATACCATGGACACCTTACCTCTCCAATAACCAAGGGGAAAAAGGCTAAACTTGATTATTTCTACTAATTATACAACTTCATTATTCCTACTAGATTACTAAATAAGTACACCCAAACTAGTTCATGGTTGGGATAACGGGATAGCATCAAAACAAAGTAAATATATATTCCTTATTGGGTTTAAGCACCCTTACAGAATGCAAAATGGTACCCAACTATGACAAAGCAAAAGGTTTATAAATAAGGCCACCCAAACCCTAAACCCTAAACCCTAAACCCTAAACCCTAAACCCTAAACCCTAAACCCTAAACCCTAAACCCTAAACCCTAAACCCTTAAAAAAGGTTTGTAAAGTTCAGCTGTTGGAGAAGTAAGACACTTTGCCGAGCGTGGAGGTCACCCGCTTCACAAAGCTGTTGGCGAGCTCGGCGTCCTTTTTAGGGTTTAGGGTTTAGGGTTTAGGGTTTAGGGTTCGTCCTTTGTAGGGGGTTCTTAGGGACTCCCAAGGCGGGTAGAAGTAACCTAAGATTCCCAAATACTCCCACTACTCGCTAAGGCTCCCTAAGCTTCCCTAAGGTTCCCTTTTACGGTTCTTAAGTTCAATGCAAGAAAGAGGTCTTCCTGACCCGAAGTGACTCCCCACTACTCGCGAATTAAGGCTCCCTAGATTTTGCTAAGGTTGCCTAGGCACGTACCCCCCATGGCCCCCCCCCACCCCCTTAAAAACATCCTAAACCCTAAATCCGAAATCCTAAACGCTAAACCCTAAACCCTAAACCCCCCTCCCCCTAAGGACCCCATAAGTCCTTGGCGGTAAGCTTCACCTCCACGGTCCAATCGCCCGTGCCGTCGCCGGTGGCGGCCGTGTCACCGTGGTAGATCGCCTGGGATATGGCCCTTAAAACACCCTCTGAACAAGATTCCTGAAACATAATCCTCTTAAAGCCCAACAATAAGGGAGACGTGTTTTCAAAAATTATATATATATATATAATATACATATGTATATATATATATACACAGATCTACATAATATAACAACAAACCTCCCAAGGGCAGACCTAGTCGCGTAGGTGACGCTGTTGGGCGTCGGGAAGTCATCAAGGGAAGGGCCAAAGGAGAAGCTGGCCTTCCAGGGGATAGAATGAGGGGGACCCTTGGGGATAAAGACCCTAAACCCTAAACCCTAAACCCTAGACCCTAGACCGTAAACCCTAAACCCTAAACCCTAAACCCTAAACCCTAAACCCTAAACCCTAAACCCTAAACCCTAAACCCTAAACCCCTTCTCCTAGGACCTTCACCGGCGCCAACTTCGAGGGTGCCGGGAGCTCGCTGTCGATCGACTCAACGGCTTCCTCCACTTTCCTGGGATGGCCCTGAAAAGCTCTGGGGTTTAGGGTTTAGGGTTTAGGGTTTAGGGTTTAGGGGTTAGGGGTTAGGGGTTAGGGTTTAGGGTTTAGGGTTTAGGGTTTAGGGTTTAGGGTTTAGGGTTTAGGGTTCGAAAATCATATTTTAGGGCTCAAAAAACATATTCTTGAGTTTTGATCCTCTTAACCCTCTTAACCCCAATACAAAGGGAACATATAAACATATCCCTCAGGGCCTGACCGAGTTTCTCATCCGCCTTGAGAACGGCATCCTGAAGAGTTTCCATGGGGTCGACGGACCCCGTCTGAGCCAACGACTCACCTGGGCCCTAAACCCTAAACCCTAAACCCTAAACCCTAAACCCTAAACCCTAAACCCTAAACCCTAAACCCAGGAGTAACCCAGGATTAGAAAGGGAAGGGGATACAAAGGAGACCCGAACCCTAAAAGAAAGAAACAAGGGCCTACTCCGGGTCCTAGTCACCTGCTGGGGCGTCCGTGCGGAAGAGGCCCATGACGCCAGTGTCCTTGATCAAGCTGTCCAGCAGCATGAAATGGTGCCTTCGCACGGATTCACACCAAAATCGGGGGGTTTCCTGTTACAGAAAAGGGGATACTTAAGCATGCGTTCCCAGAATTTTCTGCATGGCAATACTGTATCTGGGGTATGGGCAGCTCAATTGGGTGTACGGAAGTTCAGAAGCATCATCTGGAACTGGATGTGAAGGTCTAGGGATATACGCTGAAGGATGTACAGGGTTCAGGGTTTGGGGGGGGCGTGTCGGGCCAGTGTAGGGCTCAATGACCCTAAACCCTATAAACCCTAAACCCTAAACCCTGTGTAGAGGTTTAGGCGTTTTAGCTTTGGGCTGCTTCGGCTTTCAACGTTTAGAGCTTCATCCCGCGCCCTGCAGGGTGAGTCCCAGGGGCCCCAGGTTAATTAACCCAGTTTAGCGTTTAGGGTTTATGGTTTAGGGTTTAGGGTTTAGGGTTTAAGGACTACAAAAATGCTTCCTCCTTCAACTGCGAGAGAGACGCGTGCCCGTGAAGGTCAGGGCAGCTTTCAGGCCGGGTAGGTTCTTGACGGTGACGGAGTCGATTGTGTCAAGGCACTCTGCTGCCTCTTGTACTGCCTCTTAGGGTTTAGGGTTTAGGGTTTAGGGTTTAGGGTTTAGGGTTTAGGGTTTAGGGTTTAGGGTTTAGGGTTTAGGGTTTAGGGTTTAGGGTTTAGGGTTTACTCTAGAACGCCCTGAACCCTAAACCCTAAACCCTCAACCCTAAGCCCGGGCCCTGAACTTTGGACCGTCGGCCGGCATCCCCTTGACTCTTACGCTCTTTCGTTTTTTGAGGGCTTGGGCTTTACGGTTTAGAGTTTAGGGTTTAGGGTTTAGGGTTTAGGGTTTAGGGTTTAGGGTTTAGGGTTTGGGGTTTAGGGTTTAGTAATCCTAATCCTGGATCTGCATAGCAGGAACCGGTACGTAGGCCGCAGGCATTAAGGGACGATGTGGCGTACCTGGTTCCCTGATTCCCGACTAGAAGCGAGGGTTTACGGTTTAGGGAAAATCCGCGGAAAGTCAAGCCTTGCTCCGAAGGCCCCAAATCCTAAGGGTTAAGGGCTAAGGGTTTAGGGTTTAGGGTTTAGAGTTTGGGGTTTGGGGTTTGGGGTTTAGGGTTTAGGCCACGAAGAGCTGAAAGGGGGCTGTAGGTAGGAGAAGAGGTCCTGTGACAGCTCTCTGCCCTGCTTGGTATCTCTCTCTTGCGCACCGATGGAGAAAAACGTAAGCCTTTACTTACTGTTGGTTCACAGGGAATGAAGCAACAGGGCCTTATATATATATATATATATACCCCTTCAAGGGCTTATATGTATATATATATATATATATCCCTTTAAGGGATTACATGTGAAACATGATTTTCCTCATTCCCTACTAACCAACAGTCAGGTTTAGGCTTCCAGGGTTGGCCAGTGGAGCAACCTGGTACTGTTAAAAGAAGGGGGAACTTGCCCTCAAGTCGACAAATGTGTCCGCATAAGTCCTGCTGCTATAGCATACGAACCCCTAAACCTTAAACTCTATGGGCAGCCCAGAAACCATATTGCAACAAGGGTGCCCTCTTTTGGGGTTGGTTACTTTATTTCGGGTTTAAGTTTCAGGGCTCAGGAAGTTTGAGGGCTTTCTTTAGGGGGCGCCTCGGCAACGGGGGTGATTTGCGTGGCCATCGCTGCATTGGTAAGAGAGGCGTTGACAAGGAAGAGATGCCTGGATCCGTCGTGGAGGGTTCCGGACTTCAAAACTCCTGGAGATACAGTAAACCCTAAACCCTAAACCCTAGGAACATGCTGGTAGCTTAAGTGTAAGGTCGAGTGTGTATGCGTGCGTGTGTGTGGGTGGCTACTACTGGGGTAGGTATGGGGGGGCCCTATAGACACTCAATCTTCATGGCTTTATGAGGATTGTATAGGGGGCTAAAGGTAATTAAAAAAACAATGTTCAAACCGACCCTTGTACAGCAGTTGTTCATGGGCCGTCAGGAGAATTCATCGAATGGTTTTATTGGAGCAGGCCGAGCGAAAGAGAGGAAGAACATGGTGGGGTCGTGACAGATCGGCGTTTGCAGACGTCGTATGCGGTTTCCGCGATCCACTCGTCACGGGGACTCTATCCAAATTTTTCACCTGGGATCAAGAGAAGTCTGGAGCCAAGACGACTCGGGACGACATGGGGGTTTACGAAATAAAGGGACCCCTAAATATAACCCCCAAATAGTAGGATTCCCTTATCATCAGGACCCCAAGAAGGAATATACCCTAATTCCCTAAACCCCCACATTGACATGGTGTGTTTATGAACTCGGAGCGTGATGGGCTTGTGACACTTTGGTTCTCGAAATCCTGCGATTGAGCACGCGGTGCCTGAGAATGGACATGCCGGATATGCGCAAGGCAAGTTACGACGTGCATAGTGGTCCAGATTTTTGAGTACATCGCCCTCGAAGCAAATAAGAGCCAGGCCAGACTACAGATCTTGACTCGGTGCTTCGGGTTTTGGGCTTGGGGTTCTCACGACCTCGAGAAGAGGAATGCTTAACCCTAAACCCTAAACCCTAAACCCTAAACCCAAAACCCTAAACCCTAAACCCTAAACCCTAATACTGCCATTGCATCGAAAGCTCTGTTTCGCCATTCTGACGACGTCGTTGTAGGATGCATTGAGCACCGGCACCTCACCATGCTTGGGATTACCTTTAAGCCTCTCCAAGGGCACCTAAACCTCAAACTCCAGGGTTTAGGGTTTAGGGTTTAGGGTTCAGGGTTCAGGGTTTAGGGCTACAAATCCTTAAACCCTAAACTTCCCAAGCTCTCTCAACCCTAAACTTCCTAAGCTCCCTAAACCCTAAAGGAGGACCAAGCCGCCATACGGAGGAGCTCCACCCGCTTGGCGTCATCCTTGGTAGGCCAGGCTACCATGCACCCTTGTGTTTGTTTCTTTTTTTTGGGGGGGTGGGTGGGGGGGTGAGGGGGGGGGGGAGTGTATGGTTTAGGGATTAGGGTTTAGGGTTTAGGGTTTCGGGTTTAGGGCTACAAGAAGCCAAGCGTCGTATGCAAAACGCGTGTCCGATGAGGCGCCTTTGAACAAGCTGACGAGAATCTTCACCTGCGACAGTCTCTCCACTCCGCAAAATCAAGGCAGTGAGGCTTTGCCTAAGGGTCCATGCACCTATGCAGTAAGGGTAGGGGCCCAACAAACACAGAAACAAAAGGATCCTACAAACAGGGTTTTCCAGACTCCCCCTCTTGAAGAGAGGCTCTTGTACCCCAACAGTTAGTTCTTTTTGATTATGTGGTTTTGGGCCCCTAAGAAGGGTGGGACACTTGTTCTGCCACTTTGAGAAGGCTCCTCGAGAAGGGCTGCGACCTCTGACCCAGCATGTCAAGTGAACTCCTTGGCTGTAGTCCAATGTGGCTCGCACCCTAAACCCTAAACCCTAAACCCTAAACCCTAAACCCTAAACCCTAAACCCTAAACCCTAAACCCTGGAGAACAACGAGGTTTAAGGCTTGAGCTCGGGGCTCCCAGGCGCGGGACTTCTCGAATCTCAGGTTGAAGAAAGTAGGAGAGCCCGTTGCTCACCGGAACCCTCGCAACCACCCATTCTCTAGGGAACCCAGAACCAAGACAAAGGGTCAAGGGTACCACTGGACTACCATGCCCTAAGCCCTAAGCCCTAAGCCCTAGGCCCTAAGCCCTAAGCCCTAAGCCCTAAGCCCTAAGCCCTCAGCCCTAGGGCGAAGCCCTAAGCCCTAAGCCCTAAGCCCTAGGCCCTAGGCCCTAAGCCCTAAGCCCTAAGCCCTAAGCCCTAAGCCCTAAGCCCTAAGCCCTAAGCCCTCAGCCCTAGGGCGAAGCCCTAAGCCCTAAGCCCTAAGCCCTAAGCCCTAAGCCCTAAGCCCTAAGCCCTCAGCCCTAGGGTGAAGCCCTAAGCCCTAAGCCCTAAAAATTAAGCCCTACGCCCTACGCCCTACGCCCTACGCCCTACGCCCTGACCCTAAACCCGAAACCCAAAACCCTAAACTTCAAACCCTACACCCTAAACCCTAAAAACCCTAAACCCAAAACCCTAAGACTTACGCCCTAAGCCCTGAACCCCAAAAGGGCACCCTCGCCCCGCCAGCTTCTGGACGTTCTGGAGCCCCACGATTTCAGGCCCTGCGGGGCCAAGGCAGTACTCGCGGCACGACGAGGAGTTGTAGCGGCACTGCTCATCCTGTCGGCGTAAACCCCTTTAAACCCTAAACCCCTGTTTAGGGTGTAGGGTTTAGGGTTTAGGGTTTAGGGTTTAGGGTGTAGGGTTTAGGGTTTTGGGTTTTGGGTTTAGGGTCCCTAAACCCGTAAACCTCTAAACCCATAAACCCCTAGACCCTGAAACCCTAAACCCTAAACCCTGAGCCCCTAAACCCTGGGCCCCCTAACCCTGAGGATTTCAGGGGCTTTGGCAGGTCAGGGGATTATGAAGGGGACCAGAACCCTAAGAACTGGAATAAGGGCCCACTCTGGGTCCTAGTTCCGGGCGGGTACTATACGGGCCTTAAAACCCTAAACCCTAAACCCTAAATTCTAAACCCTTAACCCTAAACCCTAAACCCCCTAAAAAGAGTAGAATTACGGAGGGTCCATGAGAAAACGCGATTCATCCTCCGGATCGTTGTGGCATTGTGGTGAAGCACTGGTTTAGGGTTTAGGGTTTAGGGTTTAGCGTTTAGGGTTTAGGGTTCAGGGTTTGGGGAACCCAAAGGAGCTGGATCCGAGGTCTGCACGGCTCCAATTTCGCACACTTCTGAACATGCATTCGGAACCACGCTTTGGAGACCGGGTTTAGGGTTTAGGGTTTAGGGTTTAGGGTTTAGGGTTTAGGGTTTAGGGCCCTTCTTAAACATTCCTCAGGCAATGTAAGGGCCATACTAGAGTATATCAAGGGGAAGGGTACAAGCTTAGGGTTGAAAGTCTCAATCTCCAAAGAATGGTCTGGGCCAAAAACCCCTAAACCCCTAAACCCCAAACCCTAAACCCTAAGCCCTAAACCCTAAACCCCTAAACCCCAAACCCTAAACCCTAAGCCCTAAAGGTCTGGCCTGGGGTTATAAGTACAGCTATAATTTGTGTTACGAAGTACCATGAACCTCCAAGTAGGCTTTTGATCCCAGAGCCCTCGTCGCAGCCGCAAAAAACCCTCGAGGAACCTGAAGCCATCCGTCCGCAGTCAGAGGGTTCTTGAGGGGTTTAGGGTTTAGGGTTTAGGGTTTAGGGTTTAGGGTTTAGGGTTTAGGGTTTGGGGGTTTTTGGTTTAGTTTTGTCATTAAGGTTCTGAAGGGGAGTCAGGCAAGGAGGGTAGCTCGGGAACTCTTGGGCAACCTCAGGGGAAACCCAAGCTTCGGAAAGATCTGGGATCACTAGGCTTGTATTCTGGCTTGTAGGGTTTGTAGGGTTTAGGGTTTAGGGTTTAGGGTTTGGCGTCTCCGCCCGAGCCCCGAAACCCTAAACCCGCGCGGCCTTCCAAGCCTCCACGTCATATCCTTCCAACGTGGGCACCTAGGCTGACCAATCTTGCTCTAAGCAATTTAGAAAGATCGAGCCAAGTCTAACACGAGCAAAATGAAGCTTGTCGGTTGCGTGTGTTTTCCGCTTACAAAGGCGCCCAGCAAATTCAATGCTGCACGTGGAGCAATCAACCAAATAGCCATCCAAAACTAAACGAAACACAACGTTGTTTTGCTCTTACAAACCGCGCGGACTCTTGAGACAGAGAGAGAAAGAGACAGAGAGAGGAGAGCGAGAGAGAGAGAGAGAGAAGAGAAGCAGGGTCTGCAACGTTGCCAGCGCCGATCAACAGCTTGCAACTACACAGAGACAATTTAAGAGTGAAGAAGAAAAGCGCGCTTGAGTTGCTTTGCAAAGCGCTTCTTATTGGAAACAGGGTGTGAATAGTGACAACACAGACCATCATGCGAATTATAATGGCGAGACGCTCTTGTGAACCCCTCATAAAAGTGGGGTTTAGGGTTTAGGGTTTAGGGTTTGGGGTTTGGGGTTTAGGGTTTAGGGTTTGGGGTTTGGGGTTTGGGGTTTTGGGTTGAGGGTTTAACTGTTAGGCTCCTTCTTGTAGTTTTTATGCAAGCCCAAAAGGTCATGGTCCTAAGAGCCAGCCAGAAGAAAGCCAAGGCACCACGCAAGACAAGGTGGAGCAACATCCGTCTTGGAACCTGGCGAGGCAGGGGTTTACCAAACCCTAAACCCTATAAACCCTAAACCCTTCACCCTTTTCCCCAAACCCGCCCGCCACCCCACTCTCTTGTCTTTTGGGGTAGGCGGGCGCTGGTCGAGCGCTCAGTGAGACCCTGCTAGGGAGCCCAGGCGGGCAACCGAGCTGGCCTCCAAGGCACAGGCCGAGTCAGCAGTTGTCACAGTATACCCCACGCTGTCCGCAGGGGCCGTGTTGTTGGGGCAGGCAGGGCTCTGACCCAAAAAATCTGACCCATGTGATGCTTTGTAAAAAAAAACAAAAGAAGGTCCTAATTCCTTGAGAGTTGTAAGTGGGCAGTCTTGGGGTGGGTAAGTCTGCAGACTACTGCGCGCTCCCAAAGCTCGCTTCCGTTGGCATGCCCTAAACCCTAAACCCTAAACCCTGTAAATACCCTAATGGGGTTGCAGCGTCGCAGCACTCTCACGGGTTTGTCTTCAAACTTCCAGCCCTTGACTCACAGAAAGCCAGACATTGTGCGGCCCCAACTAGGGGATAGGATTAGGGGGACCCTTGGGGATATAGACCCTCTGAATAAGGTCTCTGTTTAAGAGAGCCAGAAGAGGGTTAAGAAGGGGTTCCCTTTTAAGGGTCCCCCTTATCCTACCTAGGAGACACTGTCTTGGCCAGCAGGGGTAAAGGAAAAGGTGTTACAGAAGGCCAGCAACATAAGCCAACCCTTCAGGATACAGGGTCTGATACCTTAAACCCGTCTAAGCCCTAAGCCGTAAACCCTCAACCCTTATGTGAGGGTTGTAAACAATGTTCCTCTGAAGCATATAAGCCCTAAACCCTAAACCTAAACCCTAAACCCTAAACTCTCAGCCCTCTCCCCCGCCCCCCCCCCCCGCGGTCGCACACGCACGGCTGCTCGTGCTGACCGCAATCCGACTCCGGGCGAGCCTGAGACTGCTCAAACTCTCTCAAGACTCCCTGGTTCTTAGTAGGGGTTTAGGGTTTAGGGTAGTTTAGGGTAGTTTAGGGTAGTTTAGGGTTTCGGATTGCCGCTGCCATGCGCGGAAATTCAGGTGTAAGTTCATGAGGGAGACTCCAACCTGAACCTCCTACCCCCAAAGCCTAGGTTTAGGGTTTAGGGTTTAGGGTTGTTCAGGGTTGCTTCGGGTTTAGGGTTTGGGGGCCTAGAACCTAGCACTCGGGATCCGTTTTTCTTCTTGTGCAGTGGAAGGGATTTTGTCTACCAGGCGTTTCCCGAGTGAGGGCACACGCATCCCACTCCATCATCGGCTCCAACCCACCCACGAATATTGCGGCAGGCTGCCAGGACTTCAAAAAATTATATTTCTATATATACATATAAATAAAAATACTTGCTTGCTTTACTTACTTAGTTGCTTACTTACTTACTGGCTGACTTACTTACTTCCTTCCTTACTTACTCTCCGCCCCTCCCCATTCATGGTACCCCCCCCCCCCCCCCTCATCCCCGCAGTGTGGCGTTGGGTTTGGGGTTTGGGGTTTGGGGTTTGGGGTTTGGGGTTTGGGGTTTGGGGTTTGGGGTTTGGGGTTTGGGGTTTGGGGGTTGGGGGTTGGGGGTTGGGGGTTGGGGGTTGGGGGTTGGGGTTTGGGGTTCGGGGTTTGGGGTTTGGGGTTTGGGGTTTGGGGTTTGGGGTTTCGGGTTCGGGGTTCGGGGTTGGGGGTTGGGGGTTGGGGGTTTGGGGTTTGGGGTTTGGGGTTTGGGGGCAGGGTTTAGGGTTTAGGGTGTAGGGTGTAGGGTGCAGGGTGTAGGGTGTAGGGTGTGCTAAAGGGTGGGTGGGGGTGGGGGGATGGGGGATGGGGGGATGGGGCTTGGGGATGGGGAGGGGTGGAAGGGGATGGGCAATCTGCGAACCGCGAACAGCGATCGATCCTTCCTGTGCCTTCTTCGGCTACAGGGCTGTACCCAGCCCGCTGACAACTCGAAAACATTCGTAAGGCTGAGCCAGCATCACGATTCTGATTTCTACAAGTCCATGTCGATGTTGGACCCCCAACATTTGAGGGTTTAGGGTTTAGGGAACTAGGTTGCCCAGCAAACTAGGATTAAAAAGGGGTGCCACAGACCTGAAGGAGCGGTCATGTCATGAGTGGGAGCCGGATTGGCTCAGATTAAAAAGGGTGCCCTTGTTTGCTCAAAAGGGTTTACAAAGCAACCTGAACCCCCCAAAAAGAGAAGAATTAACGGTACGAGTGGGCGTCCGAGGGAATAGGGATTTGGGTTTAAAGCTTAAACCCTAAACCCCAAACCCTATAGGCCCTAAACCGGGGTTCTTGTGAATAGGGATGACACCGACAGATCCCTTACCCTGTCTGGTTCTTAGTAGGGAATGGGGGAATAAGGCACCCCATATAACATTTTCCTTATAAAGGGTATATAGGGCCTTGGTTACTTTATGAGGGAACCTTCAACCACAAAAAGTGAAAAGGGTACCACTGGGCTACCAAGCTACTAAAACCCAGAAGGTACCCCTCTGAGGCGGCAGCGGGGATCAGTGATTCCATTTTCTGGATGATCGCGTGCTGCAGGGCCTGGTCAGAGCGAACAGTTCCTGGACCAAAAGCGAAGAACATACAAAGGGGTTTAGGGTTTAGGGTTTAGGGTTTAGGCTTAGGGTTTAGGGTTTCGGGTTTAGGGTTCAGGGTTTATGGTTTAGGGTTTAGGGTTTAGGGTTTAGGGCTTAGGGAAGCTAACCTTATCTTAAGAACCCCCCGCCAAAAAAACTATTTTTTGTTGATTACAAGTTTTGGGTTCTTAAGGTAGGGGGATAACGACCCCGCCCCACCTCCCCCGCATCTTCCAGGTTTTCTTTCGGCTATGGAAAGGATTTAAAGGATTTCTGGCACCCCACCTAATACTTAAGTGAACTCTCCTCATGGGGGGCGAGAACGACGCAAGACGAGCATGAGCCCCTAAACCCCTAAACTCCTAAACCCCCTTACAGCCCCGCACCCCCCAAACCCCTGAAGCCTAGAAACCCTAAACCCCAAACCCCAAACCCGAAACCCGAAACCCTAAACCCTAAACCCTAAACCCCAAACCCTCAACCCTAAACCCTAAACCCCCTAGTTGCCGGGCACCTTGGTGACACGGACATCGAACTCGGCCCGGAAGCCCTTGGCCACCTGCAAGGGGCAAAGTGTTGGCAGGATTGAGGTCTTACCCAGAGGCTTCTATGCAGTACCTTTTTGAGGTGGTATAGGGTTTGGGGTTTGGGGTTTGGGGTTTAGGGTTTAGGGTCGCGTTTAGGGTTTACTGTTATTCCCTATAGCTAACCCGAAAAGGAACTACATAGGAGCCCTCACGCAAAGTCTAGGCGCAACTATTGAGCACAGGATTAATCCTTCATCCCTAAATTCGAATCCCTAGAACAAGTCGCACCCAATCCTCTCACTGTGTCACTGTGTCCAGACCCGCTTTGTGCAGCCCAAATCAACCTCAGTATCCTTGCAATCCGGAGAATGGGAACTTTGGGGATAATTTAAAAAAGGGCTGTTTGCTCGAGTACCTGATATTCCCTCAAGGGCTTGGGTTTAGGGGTTCAGTGACATACAGGCGCTGTTCCAGATGAAGGTTGTGGGCTTTTGTGCAAATTGTGCAGAGGATTCCAGTGACTCCCCCCCCCCCCCCCCCAAAAAAAAAAAAAAAAAACACACACACACAGAAAGTTTAGAGTTTCGGGCTTAGGGTTTGGGGAGCCGCCTCTGCCAGTATAGGTGAGTCCTTGTCTGCCAGTACCTCGCTGATGTCTGCAAGTGTCGACTCCTGAGAAAACAGCTGAGATTCGGGATTCAGGTTTGGGGAAGAGATTAAAAAGTTGACAGTCGGGAGTCTCTGGGCATCTATCCGGATAGAGCAAAATAAGGCCATGGCGTCACTGCCCCAATTGCGGAGAGCGCTTCAGGCTCTGGGGCTCTGCTTGTAGCAGAGTTTCTGCGAAACAAGGCTACGCCGAGAGTGCCCTAAACTTTCCGAAGCCCTAAACCCTAAACCCTAAACCCTAAACCCTAAACCCTAAACCCTACCCTAAACCCTAAACCCTAAACCCTAAACCCTAAACCCTAAGCCCTAAGCCCTAAGCCCTAAGCCCTAAGCCCTAAACCCTCAAAACTAAACCCTAAACCCTATAGACCGGCTTCCAAAGATTCGGCTGGAGTCTAGAGCACTCCAGCTGCCAGCACTCAGACTTGCTACTGTTGAGGGAGCCCTAAACCCTAAACCCTAAACCCTAAACCCTACACCCTACACCCTGAACCCTAAGCCCGATCGGCATCCCCAGCCGACCGAACGCGAATCCGGGCCGGGACTCGGTGTAGTTGATGTGCTCCACCTGCGCGAGGAACATCTGCATGACTGGCTCAGCTCCTGCGCTTGAGGGTTTAGGGTTTAGGGTGTAGGGTTTAGGGTTTAGGGTTTAGGGTTTAGAATTAGGGTTTAGGGCTTAGGGCTTAGGGTTCCATCAACTGCGCAAGGACCCAGGGCTCAGGGCTTGGAGTCTAGGGATCCGAGCTTCAGGTTTTTAGGGGTTAGGGTTTTGGGGTTTAGGGTTTTGGGGTTTAGGGTTTTGGGGTTTAGGGTTTTGGGGCTTAGGGTTTTGGAGTTCTGGGGCTTTGGTTTTGGGGTTTAGGGATTAGGGTTTAGGGGCTCTGGCGGGTGCCCCCAAAATAGTCGGAGGGGCTCTAAACCCTAAACCCTAAACCCTAGACCCTAGACCCTAAACCCTAGACTCCAAACCCTCCTTCTGGGAAAGGGCGGGGAGACGACTGGATCGTCATCTCGGCCCCCTGGCAGGAAGCAGTTGCCATCGCGCCAAGGTGGAAGAGCTCCAGCCTGGGTGGCTTCGAAGGGGGGGGGGGATCGAGGGTTTAGGCTGTAGGGTTTGGGGCTTAGGATTTCGGGTTTAGCCCTCAGGAGTTTGGGGTTTAGGGCCAAAGGTTCTTTGAGCTTGGGGTTGTGGGGCTTAGCCTTGGCTCTTCGAGGGTAGCTTGTAGCAGGTATTGCCTTCAGGGATGCTTGCAAGTATCTAGTTAGCGGTTAGGGTTTAGGGTTTAGGGTTCAGGGTTAGGGTTTAGGGTTTAGGTAGGGTCTAGGGTTTAGGGTTTAGGGATACTTACAAGTGGAGTTGTAAGAAGGGCAGCTGCATGTAGAACCCGAACCAGCACGAATAACCCGAACCAAGGTACGAAATATCTTGTACACCTACCCCCCACCCCCGCCCAAAGGGTTTGGGGTTTAGGGCTTAGGGTTCTACAGTCTCCAGATTCAAGGATGCATGTCGGCAATGCGCCACTCCTGGAGCAACACGGCCAAAGAAAGACTGCACCATGACAATTCAAGGGCCAGAGCTTTCTCACATAGACCGGATACGGCCCCACCCGAAAGCCAAACCCTACTTGGAGGTTCATGGTATGTAGTAAACCAACAAACTGTACTGAAAACCCATTTAGGGTACTCAAGGGGCTTATAAGTCGGATATAACTACACTTGTAATTGGGTTGTCAGTACCCTGAATCTCCAAGTAGGAACATCCCTATAAATCCCAAGCCCCAGATCAGGTTCATGGCGGGATCGGGATTCGGGGTTCATTGGGTTGTAAAGAACTAAGAGAGCTTCGACTCTTTTGTTGTTTCCTGCATTACGGTCCTGTTTTCAGGTGCCCATGCGGATCACAATCGGGATCTCGCCCTAAACCTTAAACAGGAACCACAAATTCGGGGGAGACCTCTCTTGGGACCAAACGAACCCGAAAAATGGGGGGGGGGGGGGCATATACCCTATGCGACTAGAATTCCTACTAAGGTACATGAACCATCAACCCTTCCGGGTTCCTTTCAGTCCCCTGAACCCTAAACCCTAAACCCTACTCCCGGTTAGGGCTCCTTTGGATCCCCTACCCTAAGGGTTTAGGGTTTAGGGTTTAGGGTTTAGGTTCCTTTGGCTCCCAAGGCTCATATACCCTATGCGGCCAGGGCGCACAGAGGTGAACTTCGACAGGAAGCGGCTGCACTTCTCCTCACTCTTGGCGGTCATCTTCATCTCCAGCCAGTACCTCGTCCGACAGCCACCCTAGGGTTTAGGGTTTAGGGTTTAGGGTTTAGGGTTTAGGGTTTAGGGTTTAGGGTTTAGGGTTTAGGGTTTAGGGTTTAGGGTTTGCGGGTTGAGACCCTAAACCCTAAACCCTAGACCCTAAACCCTTCTGCCCAGAAACCATGAAGCCCGAGGCCGATCTGAGAGGGTTTGGGGTTTGGGGTTTGGGGTTTGGGGTTTAGGGTTTAGGGTTTAGGGTTCAGGGTTTAGGGTTTAGGGTTTAGGGTTTAGGGTTCAGGGTTCAGGGTTTAGGGTTTAGGGTTTAGGGTTTAGGGTGCTCCGCTAGTCGGTGCCATTGTAGACAGTGGCGCGAAAGTGTTCCTAAACCCCAACTCGCAAAACCCCAAACCCCAAACCCTAAACCCTAAACCCCAAACCCCTAAACCCTAAACCCTAAACCCTAAACCCTAAACCCTAAATCTCGACAGGTTGCATGTGGGCCGGCTCAGACATGGGTTCGCCCGAGGTGATGAGGATGTTGGCGGTGGCTTTGGGGTGAATATCATCAAGTGACGGCCCCACTTGCATGACATCTGACCTTGGGCTCTCTTTCTTGGGGTGTAGGGGTTTAGGGTTTAAGGCTTAAGGGTTTAGGGTTGCATGACATCTGACCTTGGGTTCTTTTTTTGGGGGTCTGTGAGTTTTGCACCCGTGCAGGGGTTTAGGGTTGAGGGGTTTAGGGTTCAGGGTTGAGGGTTTAGGGTTGAGGGACATCCGACTTTGGGCTCTCTTTTTTTTGGGCTCTGAGTTTGGGGTTTAGGGTTTAGGCGTTTAGGGGTTTAGGGTTCAGGACGGTCCCACTCGCATGACATCCGACCTTGGGCTCTCTTGGGGTCTATATGGGTTTTAGGGTTTAGGGTTTAAGGTTTAGAGTTTGGGGTGTAGGGGTTTAGGGTTTAAGGGTTTCGGGTTGCATGACATCCGACCTTGGCACGGTTTTTGTTTTTTTACTTTTTTTTTTGGGGGGGGGGGGGGGGGTCTATGAGTTTGGGGTTTAGGGGTTTCGGGTTTAGGGGTCATCCGACCTTGGGCTCTCTTTCTTGGGGGTCTATGAGCTTGGGGTGTAGGGGTTTAGGGTTTCAGGTTTAAGGGTTTAGGGTTGCATGACATCCGACCTTGGCTCTCTTTTTCTTGGGGTCTGTGGGGGTTTAGGGGTTTAGGGGTTTAGGGGTTTAGGGTTTAGGGGTTTAGGGTTGCATGACATCCGACCTTTGCTCTCTCTTTTTTTGTGGTCTCTGAGTTTGGGGTTTAGGGTTTAGGCGTTTAGGGGTTTGGGATTTAGGGTGCAGGGTTTAGGGGCGTCGGTCCCACTTGCCCTTGGCTCTCTCTCTTTTTTTTTGGGGCTTCGGGGTTAGGGTTTATTGGTTTGAAGCTTCCCCCCCCCCCCACCCCCCCCCACCCACCCCCCCCCCCCACCCCCCCCCCCACCTTCCCCCCTCGCCCAAAGCCACTACACAATGTTGGTGAGCGGGTTTTCGAGGCTCAACTGGTGTGAGCACGGCAGGGGATCATACACAGCCGAAAGTCTAAACCCTAAACCTTAAACCTTAAACCTTACCCCTCCCCCCTTCCCTGCCCCCCTTCCCCCCCACCCCCCCTACCCCCCCCTGAGGGGCCTGGCTCAACCCTACCCTACGATCAATCCAAGCCGAACCGTCTCTTGAACCCTAAACCCAAAAAACCCTAAACCCCAAAGCGTGAACCTTGAGCCCTAAGCCCTCAATCCTAAACTAACCCTCAACCCTAAACCCCAAACCATAAACCATAAACCCGGAACCCCGAACCCTAAACCCAACCCGTATTGCTTGGGGTCCAGCGACTTGGGCGCTGCGGAATCACCATGCTCACGCGGATGCGCTGGGCCGGGCCGAGGCGGGTCGCGTAGCGTTAGGATTATGAGAAATACATCGACAAAGGTCCTCTTTTGGAAGTTTTCTTATCAAGGGAAGAGCTACCACGGCGGACACAACGGATTCAGCCAAAGCGAGACACAGGGGCAACGGAAGCTGCAACAGTTGCGAGTCTCTAGGTTCACTGGTAAACTCCCATGCATTCACCCCTAACCCCTAGGGTTTGGGGTTTCGGGTTTAGGGTAAACCATAAAGCCTCAACCCCAAACCCCTAACCCTCTCTCCAACCAAGTTGCACCCTGAACCAGGGCTGCTTGGCGTGAGTCGTGTTCAGGAAGCTCTGGACTTCCGAATTCATGGACTCAACACCTTCCAGACATACCCGAGTTCAGGCTTTAGTTGTTTAGGGGTTATTTAGGGGCTATTTAGGGGTTATTTGGGGGTGTATATATAAATATATATATATATATAAAGAGGGGTTTATAGGGTTTAACCTAGTCCTTGACAAATAAAGGCATTGGGGGCCACAAAGTGTGGCGACAGTGTGGAGCTAGCCCCTCAAAGGGTTTAGGGTTTAGGCGAGGGTTCAGGCGCATCTCTCGCAAAGCTTCCAGCCCCCCACCCCTCCCGAATGCTAACCCTTTGAAGGGTGTACGGCATAGGGGCTAAGGCGCTTTTGCTTACATGCGCCTTACTCAACCCTAAACCCTCAACCTTCAAACCCTAACCCTAAACCCTAAACCCTAAACCCTAAACCCTGGACCCTGGACCCTAGACCCTAGACCCTAGACCCTAACCTCTAAACCCTAAACCCTAACCCCTAACCCCTAACCCCAAACCTCAAACCCTAAACCCTAAACCCTAAAACCTAAACCCTAAACCCTATCCATCTGCAGTTCCAGGCCGAGGTGCCGTGCTCCACTTCGGCCTCGGCCTGTGTGATCTCCTGATTCACATCTTCCGGAATCCTCGGTTGGCCCCACAGGGTTTAGGGTTTAGGGTTTGGGGTTTAGGGTTTAGGGTTTAGGGTGTAGGGTTTCGGGTTTCCGGGTTTGGAGAGACATATTCCTAAACAGGGTCTTCATAAGAGCAAGAAGACAAAACATGAACCCATACCAAGAAAGCTTGCCCAGGGTCTTGGCTTCCGGCTGCATGGCCTCCCGTGCTCGCAAGGCTTAGGTGTTGCGGGTCTCCCCCCATTTAGGGGGTTTAGGGTTTAGGGTTTAGGGTTTAGGGTTTAGGGTTCAGGGTGTAGGGTTCAGGGTTTAGGACTGTAGGGCTGAGGGTCTTGAGTCTTATAGGCTTGTAGATGGGGAACTCGTTACCCCTCCTACGCCTAAAAAGGTTTCAGAGATCGGGGACGTGCCGTGAATCGTCTCAAACGCTCCTTCCTACTATAGGGGTCGGAATAATAACTAATATTCCCTTCGGTTCCCTTTATGAATATACTATAATCACCCCCCAAAAAATAACCCTGTTCTAATCATTTCCCCTCTACCCTATATTGCATGGTTTCAGCCCATCGCCTCCAAAGAGACCTGCCGGCGGCCCGTGGCCGCGGGCAGCACACACGCGGCAAGGAGGGCCACGAGCGCGAACATGGCGCACAAGTAGTGAAATTTAGCAAGAAAGACGGGAGGGGCAACCTGGATGACCAGGTAGAGTGAATGGCTTGATCCACTTCAGAGGGCGCGGCAGACGCACTCTTTAGGCAAAGTTTGGCGGAGTTGTTTTCTAGGAAGAACAGGGTTCGGGTTTAGGGTTTAGGGTTTAGGGCTTAGGGCTTAGGGCTTAGGGTCTAGGGTCTAGGGTGTGGGGTTGGTCTTTGGATGTTAAGAGGCTGTTATACCTAACGCTAGACCCCAAAACCATCCGACGCTCCATCCGACGGCCGAGATCAGCCCCAACAGCAACAAACACCCAACTCCCAAACCAACTGCAGAAACGGTACTTAGGGCCTTGGGGAGCACGTGGCACAAACCCTTTCCGCCCACCAATGCCTTCGTGTCCTGACCCGGCTTCCAAGCGCAACTGCCGTCACCGCGGTCACCAAGGCCTCGGGGTGTTTCGAGGTCCTTCATGGGCTTTTCAACGGATCTGTGAAAGCTTGTAGGAGAGGTATGACAGGAACAAAAAGGGTTTTATGAGGGTTGAACAAGGCTCTGTCAGGGCTTGACCGGCTTTATAACAGCTTCAGAAGGGCTTCTAGAATTGTTGAAGGGTTGTAGCCTTAGAGTAGTTTCATGGTCCCTTAATGTTTGCCCTTAAAAGAGGACCCCTTACCTACCCCTCCTGCACAACCCAAGGGCCCACACATCAGAACCCTGTAAACAAGGTAAGGGACGGTATTAAGGGACCATGTAACTTAGATGTATAGAAGGGTTTTACGTGTAGAAGGGTTTTACTCTAGGAGGTGCCTAAAGAACCCTGACCCTAAAGGGGAACAAGTTTAGGGCTTAGGGTTTAGTGGGGCTTACAGGGAAAGACTTGGCCCTAATACAGATATGAGGGGACTGTTGCTGTATATGTACTCGTGTCAACAAACAAAAAACTTCGGCGCATACATATACATACGTAGATCGTGTGTTTATACATGATGATGGTTGAACAACTGATTCAGGAACTGAGTTCAAGGGTCTTGGGCCTTGGGGTTTCAGATCATTGGGCTTTGGGTTCCGAAGCCCTAAACCCTAAACCCTAAACCCTCAACCCTAAACCCTAAACCCTAACCCCTAAACCCTAATCCTAAACCCCAAGCCCTTCGAGATTTTCTTCAGTGCCCCGGAGTCCGAGCAGTCGGACAAAGTGAACATGGAACCCCCGAAACCTATGTAAAGCCATTGGTTCCCCTACTACCCCCTCCATACTACCCCCCCCCCCCCCACCAAACTAAGGCTATTTAATGGTGAACTTGGTATAGAGGGGTGTAGTAGGGGGAACAGGGTTTAGGTTTAGGGTTTAGGGTTTAGGGTTTAGGGTCTAGGGTCTAGGGTTTAGGGTTTAGGGTTTAGTGTTTAGGGTTTAGGGTTTAGGGAAGCTACTCCAAGCTCCAAGCGCAGCGTGCAGCTTGATGGTGGGGCCAGTGGCCTGTAGATGGGGTTTAGGGTTTAGGGTTTAGGGTTTAGGGTTTACGGTTCTATAGAGGGTTTAGGGTTTCATTTAGGAACTAGGGTCTAGGGTTTAGGGCTCTGGGGTTCAGGGTTTCGGGTTTTGGGGTTAGGGCCTTCCGCTTTCAGGGCTTGTAAGCTTTGCGGTTTTCCAAATTCCTAAACCCTAAACCCTAAACCCTAAACCCTAAACCCTAAACCTTAGGGTTCAGGATGCAGGGTGTTAAGAGTGCATGCCGTGTACTTGGAAGATCTCCTGGCCTAGTTGAGGGACAAATATTCTGGAATCGTTTGTCTTCATTCCGGGTTTTCTATCCTGGTTGCAACACTGCATTAAATACAGATTTCTGCTTCGAGACGGCGCAAAACGAGCGAGAACTTGGCTAGCTGAGTATGCCGCATCACGACATAGTGATTCAACACCTTCTTGGGATCACAATGGCACTTACTACCCCATGGTAGCCCAGTAACCGTATACCCTTTTTTGGGTTGGCTA